GAATCTGGGCGAGGAGACAGTGGCCTCCTTCTGTCCTTGAGGACCTTCCTCCCAAACCCAGTCTTATGTTTGCACCCTAGTTAGAAGACAAATCTGACCTCCAGAACTCTAGGGTCTGGGAGAAGAGCTTGGGCTCTCCTCCTGTGATATTTGCTTGCTTGTTCCCTCCAGGAAACTACTTTAGCTGCCTCCAGGCTGTGCAAAGAATTCTGGGCCAAACTCTGGGTCTTAAGATGAAAAAGGACTTTAGAATGCTCATTGAGCTGGTGGGAGGGAGATAAGGAAATAATGTTGGGGGGAGGGTGTTAAATCTGGTAGCCCTCTCACCCTTGGGGGGGGGGGGGGGGGGGTGGGCAAGTGTCAGGCATTTCTGAGAGGCTGAACCAAATGTCCCTCATTCAGAGCAGCTGGGCAAGCTAAGAATCTTGGCCAGGGTTGAAGGATGGGGAGGAGGGCTGGAATGTAGTGGTCACAGGGACTAGTTAGTAATACTGCAGGCAAGCACTGGGGGCCAGGACCACCACCAGTTTCTAACAACGAGTCACAGGCCACAAATTACATAGCTAACATCAGACTCACTTCTGAGGGATTGTCTCAGAACTATGGGGAATTTATTGCTAGAAAGCAAAAGCTATTTGGGCCAGGAGCCTACCCACACCTGCTTGGGCTCACCTGGCTCCTGGTGGGGGGGGGGGGATGGTGGAGGGAAGGAAAGCTTCACCCTGCCCAGTGCCCAGCTGCTCCCCTCCAAGCTAGCACTGGTCTCTTCCACATTCACATATACCTTAGGGGAGCCTAGCTTAATGCTTGGCATAGTGCCTTTGCCAGAGGGGTGGAGGAAAAATCTCCCTGAGCAAGAAGCTGGTGATCGGGGCAGAAAAGGAACCAGGGATTTGCTCAGCTCCTGCCCAGTCTTTCTACCCAGTGATGCTACAGCCCACAGCTCACAGATGTGGGCTGGGTGAGCTCTGGCCTGCCCATACCAAAGGAGGGCCCTCCTGGGGGATTGTGAAAGTGGGAATAACGACGGTCAAGGGAGAGCTTTGTTTGGGGCTCTCTGGTTACCCTGGGCTTCTTCCATACGAATTCTGGCCCTGTGATAGTGTTTTTACCAAGTCAAGCCGTAGTCAGGGAAGTTAAGAGGACACAAAAGGCATTCTCTCCCACCTCATTCCCATGAGCCTGTCTCCTAGGGCCCCAGAAGCTAATCTTTCACCCTTATCACCCAAATGCTTCTGTTCCATCAAGAAGAAAAGTTGCAGTTTTGGCTACCTCTGTACCTCCCCCCCCTCCACCCCAGTGCTTTATCCCCAGTAAGTATGGGATGCTGGAGCTGGAACAAACTGGAACACTAAAGAATCTTCAAGAACAACAGAGATTCCTTCAACTTGCATCCCACATACTCATGCCAATCTGCCACGCTAAGCTTATTTCACTCTCAGCATCGATAAGCACAGAGGCAGGGGGATAGATGAAAGGACCTTCCCCAGTTGGTGACATCAAGTAGTTTATTCTCTGGTAAAATGGACTATTAACTTGATGGGAGCACCTAAGTTTTTGGTGGAAAGAGAAGGTTCAGGGTTTTCTCTGTCTCTGAACAGTGGCCAGGAATGATGTTTGCTCCGCTCAGTCCTGTTCCTGCCCATACACAAATGCAAACCACTTACGAACACATGGGATCCATGGAGCTCTAGCTCACTCTGGCTACTTACAGAAAAAACAGACAGACAGATAGACATCACGCTGGAGTAAAATTCACTCTGTAGACTAAGGCCTCTGTTGTCCCAAGGTAAAAAACTAATAGGTAAAGAGTACCCCCACCAGTGGGGGCCTTTTCTTCCCTCATTTCCAATACATCAATTCAAGGTCTAGCATGGGACAGCAGCAGGCAGGAGTGGGTAAGAGGCCCAGAAAAGCAGTAGACACAAGGAATCACAAATCCTAACACGCTCGCACGGACATCCTACTTACCTAGCAGAGGAGCCCTATGGCTAACACACAGTAACAACACACCTGGAACTGGGCTCCAGCCTGCAGCAAATGGTCACAATGCAATACTGAACCCCACATAAAATGAAGAATGGTCCCCCCTCCCCCCACCCAGCCCAGTGCTCTGCCCCTGCAGGCTGTCAGGCTGGGGTCTGACCCAGCCAAACACTAAAAAAAATTATAAATATCAAATATACAATGAAAATATTATCTGTACAGCACTGAGGATGAAAATAGTCCACTAATCACTGCTTTGGGCTTCTCATTAAACAGCATTTACACAGACATGTACAGCTTGTATATACAATAGAAATAGAATATATAGAATATTATATATATTATATATATAATGTATTGTCTCTCTTGGGTTTTTACATTTTCCCTTTTCCTACCTAATTTCACTGAAGAACAAGCACAGAGCAAAGGTGGGGTGGGGTGAGAGGAGGGATCAGTCTCTGAGAGGTGAGGGCACCTGCAGATTGGGACAAATTCATTCATATACTCACCCTACTGTGGAAATAAGGCCCTCTCACATAGGAGGCCCTCAGAGGAGGGGGGGGGAGGCAAGGAATAAGCAGCAACCAGGAAAGAAGAGAGGATGGGCAGAATGAAAGATGAGAAAATGGAAGGGGATGGCCAAAGTGCAGAAGAGGGAGAGAGGAGGAGGGGACCCTGGGCTCAGTCTGTCCCCTCCCAATCCTGAGTGAAAACTTGGCCACATCCAGGGAAGGTACTTCAAGGTTCTTCCCCTAGGGACCTGGACCAAGCACTGTTGCCTAGTAAGCTCACCTTAGAGGAAGTTTCTAAAGGTGGAGGATCAGTTTCTAAGCCAGGGAAAGCTTGGGGGCAATTCATTCATTCCTTCATTTGTTAATTCATTCATCAGATACTCAGTTCCCAATTCAATTCTGAAGCACTTAGGGTGTTTTCTTCATTCGCACAACTCCCGGGATCCCTTCTCCCCACCACCATCACAGGATTGAGAGCAGGAAAGGACCTTAGAGGTCATATAGTCCAACCTGACTATTTTACAGATGAGATATATGGGTAGCAAGTGACAGAGCCAAGATTTGAATTCAGGTCCTGTGATTCCATGTTTGTGCTCAGAAATCCTGACTCTTCCTGTGGGTAGCTAGCCCTCAACCAGGCAAGTCTGGATGATAATACTGGGTATGATGTTGTGAAAAGAACCCCAGATGAGTTGTCAGGGGACCTGAGTTTGAGTTCTGTTTTCTAAGCCACTGGTCTAAAGGAACTCACTCATTCGGTAACTCATCAGGGAAGGGTCTACACTCCCCTGAAACAGCAGGGTTCTGTTAAGTTCCCTGTTAAGCTGAGTTGTAAGATAGGACCTAAGAGGCTTGGGAGTGGTTCTAAAGTAGTAAGGGATAAGGAAGAGGAAGAAGGGAAGAGGTGGAGAGGAAGCTGGTGACAGTGGAGTGGGTGGGGTGAGGGGAGGCAGTCACTGGAGAGAGTCGCCACTGGGATTGTTCAAAGTCCTGAAGGGATTGTGCAGGGTGGGAGTGGCCATCAGGGCTGAGGAGGCAGTGAAATTGAAACTCTTTTCCCCAGACCCTAGCACTTCTCCACCTTGTGCCCAATTAACCAACCATGGGCAAGGAAGGTCCTGGGCCAGACCCCCCCCCCCCCCCCCCCCGGGCCCCGGGAAATCCCCCCCCCCCCCGGGCCCCCCCCCCCCGGCCGGGGGGAAGGCGGGGGGGGGCCCCCCCCCCCCCCCCCCACACTCCTAGGAGCACAGAGAATCCCTCAGATCCCAGGGCCCTCCTGCCCTGGAGGGAGTAGCTGCCAGTGGAGAGGACTGTCCCCTGCCTGGAATGATTGGGGGAGGGGTAGGAGAGGGGGGAAATAGTGTGCTTCTGAAAACAAGTTTGGGAGAAGCCTTCCTCCCCCACCTCACCTCACTCCCAATTGTCCTTGCTCGCAGAACTGGAGAGAGTCAGAGGCCACTGCCCTCAGGCTCCACTCAGAGCGTGAGGGCTAAGCAAAGTATTCCCAAGCTGAGACACTGACCTGGCCCCAGTCAGGGTTATTCTCACAGACATGAGGAGACAGACAGCAGGACAGATGTGTCCATGTACACACACACACAGTAAAAGCAGCATCCTATAATAGCTTACCCTCCGTCTTCTCCCCCACAGCTAGGGAGACCTTATATTGGTCCCTGAGCAAGATCTAGCATACTTAGGACAGTGGCTGGAACATTACATCTGGGACTTAGACACAGCATTGAAATCCATTCATCATCAACTCACCACTTCCCCCTCTCCTCCCACCAAGATCAGACATAAGGGGGGCCCTGCACCAACTACCCGAGGCTCCAGAGGCAGTTTCCTTGGTCTCTCTCATAGAACAAATACCCTTGGAGGCCTCCCTGTGGCTGCCAAGTACCAGGCCTGAAGATAGACTTTTAGCCCACCCACTGCTTGTGTCTACTGGGGAGCATCCTCCTCCCAGATCATCAGTGGTGTAACCTGCTGGTCCCAAGAGAGGAACCTCCAGTCTTAATGGAGTCATTGCCTCATCAAGCTTTGTTCAGGTAAGGAGCAAGAAAACACCAAGGAGAGAGACAACCAGAGGTGGCAGAAAATAGGGAGAGAGGTGAAAGGGATGCCTCAGGAGTCACCTGGAAGAGCTGCTGGGCTGGGAATCCAGATTCCTGAGTCATCTCTGACACAGCCACCACAGCACCTAAACTATTGTGATGGCACCTCCTAGGGTGTGTAATCTGGCTAGAGGTATGAAGGGGGCCAGATGGAGTTACAGAGACAGGCAAATGGGGGAGAGTGGGGAAGAGAATATGTTCCTGACCCCTTGTTCCTTACACCGAGCAAGGTCCCAGGAATGATTCTAAGAGGCAAGGTGGTGGCTCTGAGAATCCCACACCCAGTTGAACTGGGGATGGTACCACCACCGCTCAAGAATATGGGCAGTAGGAAGGTAGACCAGAGAGACAGGTAAGGGATGGAGGGTGGGAAGTCAAGTGACAGTGGTCACAGCTCAGATTCAGGGGTGCTGGCGAGCAGGTATCCACTCCCATAGCGTCCATTGGGGGCACTGCTCATCTCCAGGGGGGATGTGCTTCCTGGGCCAAGGTAGGAGCGATGGGTGGGCATCGGGGAGGGAGTCTCACTGGGCATCTTGCTCAGGATGAAGCGGGTTTCATCGTTTTCCTCCAAGTTGGAGATGTCCTTCATCATCCGGCCCTTCTTGTAGGACACAGACAGGGTATTGGAGCCATCTGACAGCAGGTGGAACTGGCGGAGGATGAAGACCACAGGGATGGGCAGAGTGGCCAGGACAATAAGAGTGATCAGGATAGCCATGGCCCAGTTGGGGAAATAGAGGTACCGTTCTGCAGCCTGAGAGAGGAAGTAAGTAAAAGCATCAGCCAGATGGGTCACACTTGTCTGGTTCTCTCTCTAGGGATAGGAATGGTTTCTCTCTGACCCTCCTCACCAATTCATGTAGGCACCCCAAGAGGACAAGTCTTCCTCATGCCTTTCCATGCCACAGTTATTGAAGAGACCAAATCACACTCCCTGGCATAGAATTATAGTTCTAGAGCTGGAAGGTATCTCAAAGGCCACCAAATCCAACTCCATCATTTTACAGATAAGGAAACTGAGGCCCATGGAAAATAAGTGACTTGCTAAAAAAAAAATGTAAAAGACTTCACTGGACCTAGAGAATGAAGTGATCTGGGATTCATTACATTTGATGTAACTGCTGATCTAGAGAATATATTTGATTGGAATGTAAAGTCGATAATCCAAAGCTGCTGCTGAAAGATATGAAATCAAAATATTTTATCTTTGACAATGGAAATGGTCTCAAAGGAAATAGAAATGTTACTTTTACCCTCTCTTGGAATATTGTATCAAATGCTGGAACTCTACCTCTACCTGACAGGATTGGAACTTGTCTCTAGTCCATTTCCAGATACATATGAAATAACAAAGTTATTCAATTATTATTCTGAATTTGAGCAATGAATTTTTATCCTTAATGAATTTCATCTCATTTGCCCCATTTCTTTCCCTTTTCCTGCTTCCTATTCTTTTGCCCTGAAAGGAAGAGATCCTTGCTTCTGGTTGTAACTTTTATTAAAAATTAGGTTTCTTTTCTTTTCTTTCTTATAAGAGCCAACATTGAAAAATATAACTGAAAGAAAAGGTAAATGGGTGACAATTTTTTTAAAGTTGGCCATCTGAATGAAGTATCACCTTTCTTATTAATAAAAGTTGGAAAACTCTCCAAAAAAGCCCCCAAACAACTAGGCAATCATTGGAGTCCAGGTTCTCTGACTCCAGAACCAGTACTCTTAAATGACACACCCTATAAATGATAAGAAGCAACATAGTGGAGTGGACCAGGAATCAGGAGACCTGGGGTCTAGCTTTGGTCTCACTGCTAAGCTGTTTTTTGTCACTGTGGTTAACTAGTATGGCTTATCTGAGCCTCAGTTGCCCCAGATCTGAAATGGAGCAATAACTTCCTGCTGAGAACAAGTAAACAGGTCTGAGAAATTATAGTGACTCAAGAAGGATTCAATGGATCCAATGTGAGCCTGCCCTTTGGAACAGGGAACCCCATGGGAGAGGGAAGCTTGGGGAAAGGTGACCTGTTCTCTCCTTACCTCCTCCTTGATCCAGGCACTATAGCCCGGTGGGGTGACACCCAGCTGGATGATGCTGGCAGTGGTGAGAACGGCCATGCACAGGGGGGACACATACTTCCACATGTAGAAGTAGAATTGGTAAGGTCGGAAGCCCAGCATCTCTGTCAGCTCCTGCATGAATCTGGCAAGAGAAGAAAACAGAGAGGACAGGAGGAGATGGGGTGAATGTCGGTCACAAAGGGTATGAGAGGGTATTTTTCATCACATTGCTCAGGGGCAAAGAACATTCTCACCCACCCCCTCCCCCCACATCTGCCCGGCTCCAAACTGATCATTGGCAAGAAGTTTTCTTGGTTAGCTCCTCCCTTCTCCTAGGAGATGGGAAGCAACTCTATCCCTTTTTGCTCTCTCCTCTACCCTAATCAACCATAAAAATCATGTATTCCCAGGATCAGAGAGAATAAATGTCAGAACAGGAAGGGACTTCAGAAATCATCTCATTCAATGTTCTCATTTAACAGATGAGGAAACTGAGGCTCAGAAGTGAAATGACTTGCCCAAAGATACTCAGAGGTAGTAAAGGACCGAAATGTCCTGAAGTCAAGGCTAGCCCTCTTTGTACTACATTAAGTTGTGCCTGTTGATATGGCCCTTGATAAACATTCACACATCAAAGTTTAATTCAGTTCAACAGCCACTGATTAAGCTGCCACCAGGTGCAGAGCACTACTCTTGAAGACAAAGTTGAGTTCAGACATGGTTCCTACCTTAGGGCACTTACATTCTAACAGAGTGTAAGATACCAATACAAAACACCCGAACTGAGAATGGAACCTAATAAATGTGTAAGAGAGGTGCAAAACAAGAGCTACAATTATTTACAACTACATGAATCAGGAGATGAGAGGTAGGATTTGAACTGGGATTTACAGGATGTGTGGGATTAGGGTCTACTATCTAGAACTGGAAGGGGTGGAGGTGGGGCGAGTGAATGCCCCGATTCTCAGGTATACTGGAAAGTCTTCTAAAGTACTTCTTTGGTCTCCATTCATATTCCTAGCTCAGAGCTCCATACTTAATAATAACAATAGCAAGCATTTATAGGTTTTAGGTTTCCAAAACACTTTACAAGTTATCTTCACAACAACCCTAGAAGATATTAGCTACTATTATCCCCACTTTATCAATAAGAAAACTAAGTCTGGCAGCCTTTAAGTGACTTGCCCAGGGTCACACAGGTAGTAAGTGTCTGAAACCAAATTTGAACTCAAATCTTCCTGACTTCTGGCTCAATGCTTTATCCACTGAGCAACCTTTTGTTGTTTTGTTGTTCACTTGTTTCCATTGTGTCCCACTCTTCCTGACCCCATTTGAGTTTTTTTTTGTTTTGTTTTGTTTTGGTGAGGCAATCAGGGTTAAATGACTTGTCCAGGGTCACACAGCTAGAGTCAAGTCTCTGATGTGAACTCAAGTCCTCTTGACTCCAGGGCCAGTGCTCTATCCACTTCGCCACCTAGCTGCCCTGATTTGGGGTTTTCATGGCAAAGAAAATGGAATGGTTTGCCATTTTCTTCTCCACCTCATTTGATAGTTGAGGAAACTGAGGGAAATGGGGTTAAGTGAACTTGCTCAGGGTCACACAGCTAGTAAAGGTCTGAGGCTTGATTTGAGCTCAGGAAGATGAGTCTTCCCAACTCCAGGCCAGTCATTCTATCCACTTTGCCACCTAGCTGCCCACTGAGCTACCTAGCTGCCTCTAATGTACAATACACAATATATAATAATACAGTAAGTCTTCCATCCTTCAACAATGAATCATCAAAGAATTTATTAAGTACCCACTATGTGTCAAGCACTTTGCTAGGTGCTACATATAAAACTTCCATATAAGGAGAAGAAAGAAGCCCAGCCCCCTCTTCATTTCCCACCATCTATACTCTTTGGATGCTATACCACTTTCATCATGACCTCCCCCAGGAAAAGCTCACGGCCAGGAAACTCATCATCATAGACTGCTTCAGCTTTAGTTCTTACACCTTATCAGGACCCTCAGTAGCCTCTGCCCCTCTGATTGGAAGGCTGGAGGAAGGAGTAAAACACTTCTCTCAAACCCTTCAAGTAAAGAGGGCTCAGAAGCCCAATGAACTCTTTCGTTTCCCAATGGCCACAGGTCTTTGGAATCTACACTACCGTCATCACGCCCCTGCACTCCAACTCTGAGTGCTTCCTCCCCTGCCCCACCTTTTAGCTTCCTTTTATATGTTGGGTTCCTCCCTTAGACTATACGGTCCTTAAGAGCAGGGCCTCTTTCCTTTTCTTATTGTATCCCCAGCACTTAGCTCAGTGACTGGTATGTAGTAGGTGATTAATAAATATTTATGCTATTGTATTATGTTGTGATGGAGTGACAAAGACAAAAGTGAAACAGTTCTTGCTTTCAAAAAAGCTTACTTTCTAACCAAGGGAAAAACATTGTACACTTGTAAGTATATCCAAAACATATCCAAAGAAATACAAAGTAATCTTCACCCTGGGCAAAAATCACTTCACCCCATCGCTTTGCCAAAAAAAAAAAAAAATACAAAGTAATCTTGGGATAGGAAGGCACTAGCAGTTTAGGAGGGTCTGGAAAGGCCTTGTGTAGGAGGTGACATTTAGGCTGAGCTTTGAAGATACACGAGGATTCTACTAGGCAGACGGGAGGAGGGAGGGCCTTCCAGGTAACGGGCACACAGTCTGTACAAAGAGTGTAGACAAAAGACAACGTGTTGTGTTTGAAGAAGATCAAGTGGCCATTTTGGCTGGACTACAGGCTGTGTAAAGGGCAGTAATGTATAATAAGCCTGGCAAGGTAGGTTGGAGCCAGATGGTGAAGGACTTTAAATGTCAAACAGGGGAGTATAGTTTTGTTCCAAGAGCTAATGGAAACCACTGGGATTTTCCAAGCAGAGAAGTGACGAGTCAGATCTGTACTTTAGGAATATAACTCGGTAAATTTTGTGGAGGATGGATAGGAGAAGAGAATGGAGATGGGGACACAAATTAGGAAACTAGTATAATAATTAAAGTGAGACATGATGGGGCTCTGAACCAGGGTGATTGCAGGGTAAATGTTTAACTACTAGCTCTGGGGAGGGGAAAGGAGGGAAAATACACACATACAATACGTTGTTTAATCTGCATTATTATGATTTTCTCCATCACTTTCTTAAGTCTAGAAACCAGCAAAACAATAAATCAGGCCCTGGTTTGTAAGAGAGATTTAAACTCTCACACTGAAATTTTAACAAGTGGCTCTCCAGCTTTAACTGACTCAAGCACAGCCCTGGGTGATTGTGATGTGAGTAGAAAGAGACTGATATGAGAAACGTCATCGAGGAAGAAATGACAGGACTGGGATTTTGCTTGGATATGTGGGGTGAGAGAGAATACAGAACTGAAGATAAGTTCACGATTGGCAATCTAGATTCCTCCCTTTGTTCTTTTTTTTTTCTGTCCACATTTATTAATTGCATCTCGTGGACGAGGTAATAAGCATTGTGGTATGGTAGATAAAGAATCAGCAGTGGCGTCAGAAAGACCTGGGTTCAAATTCTGCCTTTGATACATAGCAAGAACAGGTCACTCACCCTCTTGGTGGCACCCTCCCCCCCAAGCAATTCTTGAAGACCATAAGCCATCAGATCTGCATTAGTGAAAGGACTTGTGGCTCCCCATCCTGATGAGACCGTAGGTCTGGACCAACACCAGAACTTTACAAAAAACACAAGGAATTATGCTCTTTTCTGGGGTAGAGAGGAAGATAAGTCAGATAAGGTCTTCACTGTTAGGGAGCTTAATCTAGTGGGTGCTCAAGAAGTAGGGCAGTGCAGTATAATGGAAAGAGATCATTAGACAGGAATCACCAAGGGTTGTCAACCAGCCAGTAGTTGGCTAGTTTGGTTAATAACTTATCATAGGAGCCAACTGACAATAAAGATTTCTGTCCGGGTCTATACTGGGCTAGTATTTTTTTAGTATTTGTGTCATACCGTGCTCTAAACAGTGTGCTGATATTGTTTAATGTCCAGTCTCACATCTCCAAATGAATATTGGACTAGATCTTGAACTGGATGTCCCATAGTCATCTTAAACTCAACATGTCCAAACCTAAACTCAAACTTCCTCCAAAGCGCCCCTCCTTTCCTAACTTTCCTCTTACCATGGAGGCCCCTACCACCCTCCCTGTTACCCCAGTTTGCAACCTTTGTCTCTTCACTTTCTTTGACCTCCAACATCTTGCCAAGTCCTGTTGATTCTAATTTTTTATGATTTTACCTCTTATATACCCCCTGCTCTCCTTTGACACTGTTACACCTTGCAGGTCCTCATCACCTTATACTTCACCAATTGTTTGGTATGATTGGTCTCCGTGCCTTAAATCTCTCCTCACTCTAGCCCATCCTCCACTCTGCTGCCAAAACAATCAGCACAAGTCTGACCAACTACCCTCTCCCCTTTCAATAAACTCTAGGGGCTCCCTATACTACTAAGATCAAATCTAAAATCCTCTGTCTGGCATTTAAAACCTGGTCCCTTCCCACCTTTCCAGTCTTCTTATACCTTCCTTCTTCCACATACTCTGTGATCTGGGGAAATTGGCTTCCTTGCTATTCCTTGAACACTCCATCTTCCAACTCTGTGATTTTTCACTGGCTGTCTCTAATACCAGACTTTTCTTCCTCCTCATCTCTGCCTCATTACTTCTCTTGTTTCCTCTAAGTTCCAGCTAAAATCCCATCTTCTACAAGAAACCTTTTCTAGTCCTCCTCAATCCTTGTACTCCTTTGAGGCTTCCCCCAATTTATCCTTTATGTAGCTTGTCTGTACATAGTTGTCTCCTCCATTAAACAGCTTCTTGGGAATGGAGACTGTATTTTGCCTTTCTTTGTATCCCTAGCACTTAGCACAGTGTCTGGTGCATAGTAAGCTTTTAATAAATACTCATCAGCTTGGCCTGATTGACTTGGGGTACTCTTGATGATGTTCCATGGAATAACTTTAAAAAAAGTTTTGATTTGAGTAATCTTAGGCCTGAGAGCATCCTAGATACTGAGCTGGCCTTGGAATCATGAAGACCTGATTTCAAGTCTTCCATAGGATGTATACCAGCTATGTGACCTTGGGCAAGTCATTTAACCT